AGTATCTAGTAAGAGATAGATAATGGTTAGCAGTGGAATTTAGGACACGTGTTTAGCTTTATTGAGGACTCGTCAGTTGGATGTACCTGTATCGCAGAGCTGATGTTCACTCTGGGCCTGAAACTCAGTACCATTCACTTCAAATGCCATCGCGTTATCAATTTCAGTCTTTAAAATTAATGGGAAGATTCAAGTAAACAATACCAAGTGAATTTCAACTTCACCCCATTTCACAAGTATGGGACTATCAGGATTCAATAGCGAACGGTACTAGGTTCGAGTCACGGAGTGAATATGAACTCAGGAATTCATGTATATTCAGTTGACAAGTCTCAAATAGGATGAAACACATGTACTGGATTCTACTGTTAGCCATCATCATGATCATAGATTAGTAATTAATTATCGAGTCGAAAGACTCGATAAGAAACCCACTCATTCACTTTCAGTGGAACCAAATAGTCTGGATGTAATGAATTATCTTTCCAGTATAGTGATAGTCTTCGTTGATTTACAAATTTATATCAGTTTGTGTTGAGAACTCATAAATGAGACATTTGTGATGTTAACACCATCGGATGCCGGTTCAGTGGTCTAATGTTTAAGCGCTCGTGCGCGAGACCTGGTTCGAATCTCGGGGGGGGGCGGTATCATGGACGCGCACTGCTGAGGAGTATCATACTAGGATAAAACGGCCGTCCAGTGCTTCTAGGTATTCTATGGTGGTCTAGCTTCAATTGACTCATGATTTCAACTATTTGTGATATTGATGGTGTGGATAATGTCAAACATATAATCAAATCTATAACTGACTAATATTCATTAAAATTGTAATTGTTGTCTTTTATGATAGAAATCTTTTCTTTCATAATCAAGCAATGTAACCAATTCATTTTACACTATTATTAGATGAATTAACCTATTTATAACAATAAATACATAATGTTCTTACCATTAATAGATCAATTTCAATGTGAATATTTGTGAGATAGGATATGTTGTGCAGTGTTTTGTTCTATTCTACATTATAGGTGTAAACCATAGCCTTTTGAAAAAGGGGACACCCAAAAATATTTCACCGCTAGTTTTTTCGGAGCAAAGTCCGTGTGTTTTAGACTGACCAAGTGAGTGATGTGAAGTTTAAACATAGGGTACTAGATGAAGATTGTAAATCAGTTGATGAAGTATGGAATATTCATCAACTGAGGTGATTGGTACATAAATTCCATATGCCCAGCAACCATCTACTCTGACACTCACTGTTTATTGATATAGTAGTTTGAAAGAAAGCTATGGAAGGCCAAACTAAATATGACATCAGTCCATGAAGTCATTGACCGTTAGAGTGAGTCTTGTAGGTAGATGCACACTACTTGATTGGGGTACACGCAATTATCTTAATCAATTGTTGAAACCGCTTAGTGACATGGTTTAGAATCTACCATAATAGTGAACATGAATTTGATCCCTGTCTTCCATTGGATTTATTTTAAAATTATCTTATATATTTTATACCATAAATTCATGACTTACTACCAAATCTATGTTTGAAAATATTACGAGATCACTTAAATAAAAAACGGAACGAAGAATCAGCGACACAAAGACAAGACAAGCTAAACTATTCCACTGAGCTTCAGCCCTGCTAACTAAAGGGAAAAGACCAGGTTCAGCAGAGTAAAAAGTATATCCCAGAAACACGAGAGAAACAACCATACAACTCAAGCATATATATACAGCATAAAAAGATCTTTTAGAAGCGACAAAAATAGCGTACCTAAAGAGGTACTGAACCAATGACATTCAGGGTCCTTCCAAGTGGGAAATATAATATGAAGGTAAAAATGGGCGCTTTTGATGCGAAGACGAGAAATTTAAATTTCCGAAATAAAATTACAAAAATAAGACGTTTACCAAGTGATTTCTGGAGATTCACCATCCTCAACAGAATCATAATGACAGTAACTAATCTTTCTCACAATCACTGTTGTTACTACTTTCACCGTCTAGTATTCTTAATCATTAATATAAACTTAATACACAGCTGTTAAATGCCTAATTAGTGAACTATTCAGGTTTACCCTAATGTCTTGAAAGTTAATTATTATTCAAAAAGTACGGTAGTTGGTCGTTTTTTGTTACATAAGAGACAAGTTGATTGACGGATATTTACTGAAAAAAAACTATCAAACTATGCCGTCAAATCTTAAGAGTTCTAGTGAATGAGAACGATGGGTCTCCCCAGAGGTTGAATGCAAGCTCCACCAAAGGGTCAGCATCACAAAGTCCGAAGTTTCTTATGGTTTATTTTGAATGTCCGAACATTGAATATAATAGTTTCGAATGCTGAATCACTTGTAAACTAGACGAATTAAAATTAGTCATTAATTAACAACCATTGAGTGATATGGGGGTTATACAGATTAGTTTTTACTTCGATCACCAACCGGTCTAAGTCAGACAACCACTGAAAAGCTTCAACGATTGGACACACTTTCCAGTTAGAGGTAAATTACTGTAAAATGAGTTTACTTATTTGCGTAATCGATTGTAGTAAGGAATATATTTGATGAGATGGATACTGACTTATTTGTGATTTTATGATTGTCACAGGAAAACTATCAAACTTCCAAACCAGAATTTTTTGTAAAGTCATCTGCATAGTACTTATTTCAAAAACGTTTAATTTAGTTCCATACAGAACAAAATGTTTTAAATAAATATTTGTTGACCCCTTCAGTATACCTGCTCTAAATCATTAATCAGACCAATATCAATAGAGAAATGAATTGATCTTAGCAGTGACTCAATGCATCTATCAAAATTGCAATTGCAAACGACACTAGTAACAAGATCATTGGTTTCACTATTTGAATGTAACTTATTTCTCAAGCGAATTTTATATACTTGGCAATGAAGAATATTATCCATGTGAAATATACGATGATACTAACGGATTGTCTCAATCATTATTACGATGTTCGACATTATGATCTGACAGGTGAAAGTAAAAAGCCACTGAACCACTATTCCATTTGTTAATCAATAGTGAAATTCCAATAATGTTTTTTGATGACCTTGTTAAAAATGTATTTTTTTTTACATTATTTTTTTGTACGATTATATATTTTGACATTGACCTTGTAAATACAGAAGTACGTTTTTAGTCATTTATTAAATAAATGGATAGTATTTCAATTTGTTTAGATTTTATTTTGACAGTTTTTCCAGCACATCTATTGTCATATTCAATTGAAGGTCTGTTAATGTTAATTTCGTTCAAAATGTACATTCGCCAACAGAGATTGTACAGAAGTATTGAATAAATTCTCATTAGAGGAGTTCTAAACTAAAACAAAACAGACGTCTGATACTACTAGGTTTTTAATGGCTGTATAACTTAAGTCGGTTCTTGTTCTCAATAAAAGACTGATTAATTGTAGTCCCCAATATAAACAATATTGGATTATAAAACATTATTATCATCTTTACATTCATCGAACAAGCTAATATATGGACTTGTTGTGTTGTGTATGCTACTTATATTGACAGATATTAGTAGTATGTTACGCCAATTAGAAGTGGGATGACTATCAGCAGAAGATTGTATTGAAGAGAAGAGGAATAGAAGCAGAGAGCAATTGTAAAAGATACATAATTGAAAGGATCATGAAGCATGTAAAAGATAATTGAAGTAAGATGTACAAACAATCTATTTAATGTGTGGTTTCCATATTTTAAGAAAGCACTCTAATTTTGCATTTAACAATAAATTGATTAACCTCACTAAGTTTTTGTTCACTACAATAGTAGCTTAGCAGATAACGCTTTGGGTTTTTGAAACGATTGGCAGTGGACTCGAGTTTCAGTCTGGATATCAACGCTGGAGTGCAGGTTCACCCAGGTGATGAGTTTGAAATAGGACGAAACGTGCGTCCAGGTCCCACCTGTTAGTTATATAAAAAGTACAATAAACCATTGGTATTTATATTTTTATCCTAACTATAAACTTTCACTTGATTGGTAAACCATTGAGATATCTTCCGACATTTATAAATAATACTTGATTAACTATAAAAATGCTTTGTACACAAATGTTTTAATTCTATACCTGTTTAGACTTATTTATACAGTGTTGTTTTACATTTTATATTGATAATAATACATGACTCTTTGAATATGAACAATAAAATATATTTGATTCGCTTTTGTAGTGTTGGTTGGTTGTTTGTGACTAGACGAATTTTGAATGGACAATCGAGATATGAGGACAACTATCTTAATTTCAATATTCATTAAAAGTGCAATTTCTAACATTTTTGTTCAGCTACTAGGTGCTGTGTACCTGTATTGTTTTCAATAAAGACTTCATTTTAATCATTTAGAGCTAACTACATATATCCTCTATGATCACGACAATGTGGCATATCCCGACTTGCTGGATGAAAACCAATCGATAAACGAATTGAGAGTTAGAGCTTGAATTGAAATCCTCAGTGAAAATTATTCTCTTGTATGTAGCATTCATTCACTAAATGGGTGGAAAATTCTAAATATTGTACAAACACATAGAGAAGCAGATATGCTGCGATTTCATGGTTACGTATGCTAACCCAAATTGAGCGTCAGTTTATACAATAGCTGCGTTAATGATACCATTATCACTGAAGTCAGTAGAAATTCATGAAACCGGCATTAAACACGAAAAATGGTACTGATATTATGTATATATAAATCAGGTTGGTAAGCACGGAGGCAATTGGAAAACCACGATTCCAAACTAATGGTGCAGGAGGGTTTCAGGACCCAAAGGAAACAAATAGCGTATGAACCTATTCTTGGTTATCGGCTACCACAAAATCACATCTCCTAAATTTGCCCCACTGTCTTGGGCATTAGAGCTCCAAGTAAAAGGCACGGGGATTGACTCTCTAATAAAACCACCTACTTCTGTTTAAGCAGACGGGCAATACTCCAGACCACATACAAATTCAATTGTTTGTGTGTTGCATGTATATTTTGATGCCACTATGTACAAATATTTATGTGTTTAAATAAATAAATAAACGAATGCAAATTATATCTTTCGTAACAAATTAATAAAACTAGAAATTTGTTTACAATGTTCAACTAGTACTTCAAAAAAGTACACTGATACAATAAAAACAATAAAAATACTATATATGCATATCAATGAGCTTATTACAGACTGTACATAGTACAATAAAAATGGGCATTCTGTTGATCGGAAACTTGTTTTCTTTTGTTGTATTGAAGGAAGAAAGGAATGCAACACAACAGTTCATGTGAATACAAAGACTACGTAAAACATTGTAAGCGGTAAGTGACAAACGACAGGAGAATATGAATCAAGAATCACCAATAATCGAAGAAGAGAAAGAAGAAGATTCTCTTCAAATAGATGATTAATGAATTGGTATAAAAACGAACTAAATAGTTGAAAAAAAACTTAGCATCAATAGTACTCAAGAAAAGTGACATACACACAGCCAAAGAAAAAAACATGGTTTAATTTACATATGGTTAGTTGGTGAAATATAATTGGACGACTGTCATCAGAAGTAAGAAACATCTGGTAATAAGAACAAATGCCTATAATTCCGTTTTCACTGTATTATCATCTGGAAATGAAATAGTAATTGAAAAAAGAAAGAATATGTTTCATTTTAAACTATATTGTTACATATCGCATAATAAATTTATTTTATGTCCATATTATCAGGGTTTTTTGAGGTATTCCGATCACACGGGAACATGTGTTAAACATTGTTTAAGTTCGCCCGCTACCATAGACATCAACCGTTTAAGAATATTACACTTAACTACTTATAAAACTAAAAGTAGCATGTTTACTTTCGAAGGAAAAATGGAGTTCACAATTAAGCGGAAATTTCCTAGAATATTGTTAACTATTCTATTAAACGATTTACATAATTACTAAATTCAAAGTGATTTCATCATACAGTAATGAGAAGATGGAGTGGATTTAAGGACTATAATTCATTTTCACTGTTACTTTCGAGCAATCTAATCCCATATATGAATATGTCTGTGGTGATGTAGGATACATAGAAGTCCGGTTTTACTTTTACACATACAGTTTTGCACTTCTATAATGCACCCTATACGTCTTGGAATTTAGATGATTAGTTGAACTGGTTAACTTCAAGTGCGTAAAATTGGATCTGGAAAAAGGTAATGCTGGACTTTTACAAACTGTGAATCACCATCACACACTCACACACATATATTTACATACATGTGACCAAATTGTTAGAAATATTTAGCACAAATACATCAATCATGTGTTCTCATCGTTCTATAAAGATTACACCATAATTTGAAAGACGATTTTTATAAAGTTAAATTTGGTATGACTTCTGTTGAAGTGACATTATTCATCAACAAGTGCTTGGAAAATAACTGTTGCTATCTAGTCACATTGAACTACTTATTTCGAAAATCTAGTACTGAGGAACTCTCTTAACATATCACCATGTATATGTACAGTATAATCGTATTCTATTTAAATCAATAATGACAAACATGAATTGACTTATTGCTAAAGCAGTATACATACCAATTTTCGAGTCTTCTACTGGACTTTCTTTAAAATATGGAAGTCCAGAAGTGGTTGGAACTGTGGAAAATTCAGTAGCAGAAGTTTTACCAGTAGTACTGCTGCTGCTGCTTTCAGTAGAGAGATAGACACGTTTCCATAATTTTTTAATTTCACGATCATAATCAACCCATTCCGGAGCGATACGCATTGCTGCTGTCAATTTCGGTTCTTTTGTACGTGGATTATTACACAGATCGATAGTTTTCGCCTTAGCTAAACTTTCATCAGAACACCATGTTTCACACCATAACCATTCTTGAGGTAATGATTTAATTGGAACCTTAACAAAGTAAATTAAATAAACTAATTGAATCCCAAATAAATATTAAGAAAGTACGAAAAATTTGGTACCAGTCAAAATAAATAAATATTTTTCATCATTTCATAATGTAAACGGTTAGTATAGTGGACTGTTTAATCAAAGAATGTTGTAAATTATGTTCATATATATTTTTTTATTTTGTGTTACAGAGAAGGATTTTATTATTTTTTGAAAGAAATTTTCGATTTCAAGTGGAGTTAAATAGTGGCTAGCAGTGGAAACTAAAAAGTACAATTTGTCCTACTTGCAACTCGCCAGATTGATGTGCTTACATCCCAGTATGGATGTTTATACCGGGACCTAAGCCCAGTACCAGTACCCTTCGTTTCAAACACCCGACGCATTATGCACTTAGATACTGAGTCCAAGTGACTACCGGTATGTGCAGCGAGGTGAATTTTAATTTATTTGTGTTGGTTGAATTTTCCTGTTAATATTGTGGATAACAATCGATTAATTTTTTTTTAGGCACATAGATATTCTGTGCATATTGCCGCAATATTATGATTTGATGGAAATCTTGAGGTAATCTGAACAGGATACGCATGTATTAAAAGAGACTGATAAATTTCGGTTCAAGTTTCCAATTTTTAAGATGGACTGCAAACGATGTTAGTAAGTAATGATATTAAATGTGACCGAGTGACGACTGCTCACGAGACCGTACAATTGATGCAAGCCTACAGACTGCTTTTAGATCAAAACACGACTATTGGTTAGAAGATACGGTTATAAAGAATATGGAAATGAATGTTGGAAAATTCATTCATGTTTCACCTCTTTAGAGCTGGAGCACAAAATGCTTTACGAATATGATACTGAAAATTGAGCTATTCGATGGAATAACTAAGAGTTTAAAGACGCAAAACAATGAGCAAACAACTAAATTAAAGCTGCTACTAAGTCACTGCAAATAAACTGACCTGATGAATCATATTATTAGGTAAATCTTGATCTAGATTAGACAAACTATTTGGATCCTGACTTAAACCATGATACTGACCACGAAGTCGATCTCCAGCAGCTAACCGACGAAATCTTGTCAAATCGACAACATATAACGCTGAAATATGATATGGTCGACCAGCTAAATGATTAGCCCAATAGCCTTGTTTCCAAAATCGGAAACCATCCATTTCTTTACGAGAATCACAAAATGGTGTGTAACCGTACGGAGCACCATCTAAATCCAGATCGGCTAATTCTTTTAGATCCGCTCGAACAATCTAACATATTGATAAATCGAATCAAGAAAGAATATACTCAATTCATATTATTGATTTAATAAATAAGTACAGAGGCTTATTAATCTTGATCATTAATTTACTTTACATTGCATAAGGTTTGTGTCTGTGAAATGTTGCAACACAATAAATAGCTTTTTCCTAAACTCATAAATATTTTATCTCGCTAAATTTATGTTTTCTGGAATTATAGCTTGAATGATCACCCCTAATATCACTTATACTGCTACTAATTCTATTACTCTAAGATTTGCCCTAACAATTCCATTTCGCTGTGCTAATAAGGTATGGTAACTTGAACCGATGAGCACATTTATCAGGTTCTACTTTGTGTTTCGTTAACTGAAAACTATACATTTGAATCATTTAACCAAAACGGGACAGTAATAAGAAAAAAACAAATAAGGAAATATTACTTGATCAGCATCAACAAATATAATTTTGGTCACATTCAATGGGAATAGAACATCAAGGAATAGAATTTTATAACCCCATATAATACGTTGTTTTTCAGTTTGAGCATGTAACCAACGTGGCCATTTATATTGAACAAATTCATATTCAAAACCATATTCTGCTGCCATATATGGTATAAAATCTTTAAATGTTGGTGAAAGATAGTTCTTGAGAAACCAAAATTTCACAGGAGAATTTGTATGTCGTATTACAGTTAACATCATAATTCTTTTATTTTGAGAAAAGAAATAACACAAAATATACAAATATATACGTTAATGTAAAGAATTAAGGGTGTGTTAATACATATATACACTCCAAAAATAAAGTCGCTGAGAAAAGAGATTTGGTTTTGTTGAACCTTCCTGACTTACGGTTCTTTAGTTCTATTACAGCATAATTGTAGTAATGTTGTTAAGAAAAAAAAGTAGTACATTTTACAGAGAAATATTAAATTGTTGTGTACGAATTTTGAGACTTTAGACAATCAGTAGTCAAGATAAATATGAATAAGGCTACCATGAAAATCTAAGAAGATATTTATTTATTTATTTATTTTATCTTACTTCCGGGAGCCACAGTTAAGATTCACCCCAGAATTTATTGATTTGTGAGCATTCATATTGACATATACATTCACCCCGAAAAAGCAATTACTAAAGTATTGTAGGTAGAGATCGATAGTGGCTGGCAGTGGAGTTCAGGACGCGTGTTTCGTCCTACCTTGAACTCGTCAGCTAGACGTGCCTGCATCCAACAGTTAATGATCACTCCGTGACTTGCTCCCAGTAACATTCGCTTGAAACGTTATCCACTTAGCTGTTGATTTCAGATAGCCACTAGCTTGTGCAATGAAGTGAAGTTTCATTCATTTTTGCACTAGTTGTTAGAATTTATTAATGGGATGAAGGTACATCTAGATGACGAGTCCCAAATAGGACGAAATGCACGTCATACATTCTACAGCTAGCTACCATATATTTCTGCTTATAATGCTTATGAATTAAAGCAATATCGAGGCAGTCTACACAGGATGTACACATGCGAATAAGAGACTGATAAATTGCAGTCCAAAACGTTAATGGGAAGATTCAAACAACCAATACAAAAACCAATTAAAGTTCGTAGACGTGTTTTGAAAAGATTGGAACCAAATGAGTACCTCTTAAAGATAGCTCATAGTGATATTTGGAAGATATCTTACATGAAATAAAGACATTCAAATTCCTTAAATATTCTACCACTAATAACAAAAATATTAAAGGAGAGTCAAAATGTTCTATTTATTCTGTTTAGAAAGAACATATACCAGTGTATTTAGTAAAAATAAATGACATAAAGTAACTAATTATCTATTAGTATAGATAGATTAGTCATCATATCAGACATAGAGGTCAGACCAGCTGACGAGTCCTGGATAAGAAGAAACGCATGTTCTGCTAGCCATATTACATCTATTATATGCTAATTTGTGTCACAATGGGTAAATCGAGGTAATATTCACAGGATGTACATATCCCAAGCAAGACTGATCAAATTTCAGTCCAAATATCAACAACCCTATAATCTAAACCATTTCAAATTGAATTAATTAACTATCTATGTAATGGTTGATTGAAAACTTATTATCGAAAAAAAAACAACTAATGAACATACCTTAATAATCGTTCATACAAATGACCAGAGGCAACAGAGAAAATATTGATAGTTTCTTGATTTGAAGTACATTTATGCCAAGGTAAATGAGAAGCAAGTGAATGTTTTAGACTATGAGATAAAAAAAGGAATTCGGGATTACACTGATCATAGTTGAAATCATTTGGAATAATGAAATTAATTTACTATGAGAAAGGGAATATTTTTTATACGAAAATTATATGAGTAACAAAAAAAACACCGATAGTTGTTAATCAGGAAATGTGTTTAAATTACTCACTTTTAAATAGCTTACTACATTTTTTAACGTGAACTTATTTATTTTAACACATAGATATTGGTACAAGGAGGCACCAAATACATATGCGCCACACAAATCTCATTTGATATGTGTGAGGGCTGTGATAATGCTCGGGTGCCCATACCGAAGCAGGTGGTTTTCTTAGGGGACCACACCACGAGCCTTTGACCTGAAGGTTTGATCCACAAGGAAGTGGAGCATCGTATGGAGATGCAGTCCCATTGAAGCCGGTGACCAACAATTGGTTCATACGCCATTTGTTCCCGCAGGATACTGGAGCCCATGTGCACCAATGGTTTGGAATCCGGTTAAGGCGCCGGACATTCACTTTCCATCCTCTCGTTTTCGTAAGTAACACTCCCTTCACGAGAAGGCAGTAAGTAGGACTTTCCTGGCAGTGGCTATATACATATATACATTTATATATAAGGTGAACGCCAATGATATTAAGGTTAATGGAAATGTCTTTTTTTGTTTAGCTGTTCGTTCTATTCTACTTGATTAGGGTGCGTACGATTATCATTATCAATGGTTAGAGACGTTCGGTGATATGATTCAGAATCGTCACAATGCCGCAGATGCATTCACTCTTTGTCTTAAATTAGATCCTGAGTTTCAAAATTACTCATAATTTTCTTTATTTTAAAAATCTATTATTAATTCCCGAGTCATATCGCCTATAACTAATGTAATACCAATGATTCTACCGCTTATAACTAGAAATATAAACCACTGTAATTCCCACGACACAAAGTAAGAGCACAAAGATCGGTACAATGAAGGTGTATCGACTCCCTAAAACACGACGTTGTAAGACCAAACATATTGATATATGTACTGATTTTATACACACTTAATCATTGATTGATGTATTTTAAACAGTTAGTCACTTTAAAATAATTTGGATAATACTCCATTGCAGATGATTTTGAGTCATGGCATTCAAAATCTTTAACCATTGTTTACAAAAACCATGTAAACCTCACTCAGGTAGCTTACACCTATTAACATGGCTCAGTCCACTTGTCAATTATTTCACAGACAGGTGGAACGTTTTGGTTTGATCGTCCCTGGTTTTCTTCTAACCTACTCCTGTATCAGAAAACATTGCCGTCAAAGAAGGCGGTAGTTGGACATATGTAACATATGTCCGAACCACCTCAGTTGATGAAGAATTACTATCTTACTACCTTTAGTAAGAACAGTATACAGTCGACCAGTTAATAATAAAAATGTTGAACCAGACATCATCGCCCATTAACGTAGTCAACGCTATTAAAATGTCACACTGGGAATAGGAACTGATGTCATGAAAAGTTACACTGAGTTAAAGGAAACGTGAACTTTCATGCTTATGCTGACCAATCACTTAGTATTTACTATTAATGGTGATCTTAACAATTTCACATCTTTGGTCTGATAACATGTGGCAACTTGGAGCGATGAAAAAAATTTTCGAGCTTCTACATTATGACTAACTACCTACGTTCGGAATATTTAAATAAAAGATATCAACATTTTATCAGTCATAATTGTTCATTATTTTCTAACATAAACTGAGGCCATCAGGGTCAAATGTAAGTAAACTTATCTACACACAAACATACGTGTACTCAACGATGCTCTCTTACGCTGGATTCTTTATCGAACAAATTCTATTTATTATTGACTGAAACTAGAACATTAAAATGGAAAGGTAATCGAATCAATTACAGTAACTGCATAATACCGTTCATGCACATATTCGGAGAATGACACTGAGGAAGTGAGTTCTCCATTAATCCAAATGCTCTGGCACATTTGAGGGTGGGAAAAGTCTTCTCTCCCTCCCGAAATGCTCTCACATAGCTACGTGTATACAGACACTGCCAGCGAAATCATACTCACTACCTTCTCGCGGCGCGAGTGTTGTTTATGAAACTGAGAGGAAGACAAGCGAATGTCTGACACTTTAACTGGATTGGTGCACACGGAGTATCCAGTTAAGGGAGTTGGAAAGCCCTTATTCCAAACCAATGATGCATATGAACTCCAGAATCCTGAGGGACCAAAGGGTGTATGAACTAATTATTGGTCATCGGCTACCATGGGACTGGATCTCCTGACGTTGCTCCACTGTCTTATGGATTAGACCTCTCGGTCAATGGCTCGGGGAGTGGCCTCCTAAGAAAAGCACGTACTTCAGTTTGGGCACCCAGTCAGTATCCCAGCCCTCGCGCAAATCGGATGGCGAAGTGTGGCATATATAAATTAGACGTCTCCTTGTACCAATGTTTATATGTCTAAATAAATAAATCGCAAATAACCACACCGATTATACCTTTTGGATTTCTTTTACTATCATAATATACATGACTACCTGACCAATTTGGCAACGGAAATGTGTCACTAGAAGTTGAGCAATCAAAGAAAATTAATAGACTGTTTTAGAATTCTTTGATTTATTGTTGTTACAAATAAACAACTAGAAAAATAGGTGAATATCAGAGAGGAATAACCAATTGTTTTTTCACAGTTCATAAATCCTTAGCGCTCTATATTAATGACATTATGAGAGATAGAGGCCAGAAAGTAGATATGGTTTAGTCTTAGAGTCGGAATTCGATTTTTTTCATAAATCACTAAATTCAATTGCCATGTATTTTTTTCCTTTCATTAACATTTATTAAACCAATCATAAACTTATCTATTTATACAGATTTTTCTTCTGAGTAAACAGATAATTAAAACAAACATAATATTTACTTACCCACTTAGCCAAGAAGGACAATATTCATCAGCATAATTCGATAATGTAGACCAAACTTCTGAATGTTTATTTAACCAATTATTTGATTCTTCAGAACTATCATCTAACATACTTTCACTGGCAAATTCTGCACGTTTATTAACAGAGACTTCAATGATTTTAGAACGGAAATTACTAATCAATGTGATAATTTCTTTGGAATTAACAGATGTATCAGTATGTTCTTGGCTACATGTAATTATAATAAAAGAGATGACAGGAAGTAGATTATCATTAAATATTTTTTTATTGACCAAACTAGTTCATTTACTTCAAAGAATCAATTTAAACTTAAACAAATCCCCAGTGATCAAATGAATCTGTATCCAATAAACTTGCTTGTTAGTTACTTGTTATCAGTAATCGTAACAATTAATGGAGGGATGAAACAACTGTCTTGTGCATTGAGATTTCAATGCTTTTCTGTAATGTAATTAGAGACTGAGAAAGGGAATAAATTTTAATTTAATAATTCACCGCTAACTTGTATCTAACATGCCATGAACCCGCGCTTTATCATATCTTACAGTCACTTACATAAACTGTCTAGTTTTAGTTAAACTTCAAGAGTGAATTGATATAATCAAATATCAAATTATTCAACCCAGGTGAAGAAGTATGTCATACTGCCAGGTATGAGTTAGCAAGTCAGAATTACGATGACACCTCACTCATTTTGCGCGAAATTTAAAATAGAGTAGTCGATACGACTCAGTTAGTAGTCAAGAGTGTTCCGTGAAGCTAGATAGTATTCTTCCACTCTAATCCTTACTCTTAATTTCAAATACAAGTTTCTTAAGTTTGTAAACGGAAGGGTGACAAAGCATTGGACCATACCTGATATCAGTTTATGATAAAAACCGTAACCCTAATTTTTAGATTAATCTTAGGACTTCAGCTTAATTTTTGATGCCTAACCCTAACCATTTTGGATTATCGCTGATATTAGTTGATGACAGAAACTCGATGTGGTGATAACACTAGCCCGACTCCTAATATCCGAAACTGCAAAGAATAAACCGACATGAGAAGGTTGATCACTAAGATCCAAGCTAGTGTTCCACTGTCATGATAATACTGTTTGCTACTACCAGGCAGCGTTTCCTGATTAGCTGACAGGTTATTGGTATATCATACATTTACCGGATAAATCGAAGGTCATTAGATATTTTGATACGTGATGTACTGAATTATAAATAATAGTTAAATATATTTCGGTGATTACTCATTATGAAGATAGCTTTTCCTGTGACTGATTGACATCTATTGGAGAACTATTAAAAACAAAGAGTATTAGGCAATAAGTGCTTCTTTATAGAATTCCGCAGAAGTGTGCACCTACAACTTGACACAGGACCTAAACCACGGTACTCAAATCTCGAGTGAATAACTTGAAATGATAAATAATAATTTGAACAATTCAATATTAAATCTATAAAATGCGATGGGCAAAAAAGCAAAATACATACCCGGATATTTCATAAAGTTTTTGTGATTTCCCTGCACGAATATTCAAATGCCAAGCGCCAGGATTGGCTTTAAGTTGAAAGTAACCCTGATAAATAAATAAATTAGATGTTAAAAAATAAAAGAAACATAGATTCTGCTAATTCTAAACCTAATTTAGCACTAGTTGTTTTGAATACTAAGGTTCATCGGTTTTAGGACAGCGAGAAGTTATGTGGTTATCTTGTAACCTTCATTTTTGTACTTGATTATTCACTTAGCTGACAATCAAATTATTTTGATTAACATTATATCATTAAAAAGAGTTTAGTGGCCCGTTGGTCTGACTCTGACTTGATCGAATGATGAGGTTAACGAAATATACGTGCCGCCAACCGTTATACATAATTGTCGACTTAATTTGCGTTAGAGAATAACAGAACAGTACGACATAGTGCTAGACACTACAAGGGTTTGAATTATCCTGTTGTTGGTATTCAGGACTGAATTTTCGATTAGTTTCAGTTGACATATGTCCATCATTAAATCTCAGTGTTAACATCAACACTTGAATGTAGGGCGAATGAATTTGACAAGTCAAGAATAGGATGAAACGCGTATCCTGGATTTTACAGCTAACCACGACCCATCTATTCTACTTCAGTTGAACATTTTACAAATAAACGATAGCAACATTGTTTCATATTTATTTATATAATCAGCTACCTAATGGTCCTGTCTCTTCAAATGAAACTCCAAGTCCGATTCTACTGAGCAAGCTATAAATCTACGGTCGTCTTAGTGACTTTAGTATCTTAACGAATTGAATGAGCCATCAAAACAGTCGATATTGTGTTCCAATCAAAGCCCTTTATATCATTATTATTATATAATATACGAATAAAATTAAAGCATTAAACAATATCGGTTAAGTGGTTAATCAAAAGACAAACGCTAGTAAAAATAGCAAAATGATGTAAGCAATTGCCTAGTAATTATCGTATTTCGGTCGCAGGTTACGCTTTTACCACACCTTTCATTTTATGTACTACAAATCATATCAGAATACATCTGACACAATAAAATCACAACAGTCAGTTAATAACGAATTCTAACAATTCATCAAAACCTGACTTACCAAGTTAGCCATAACAATTGTATCATATTCAATAGTAGTTGGTGTAGGACCAAGCGTAAATTGTAGTCCACGTGGCGGTTTCATACTCCCCTCTTCCACACAATGACCTTCAAGTAGAAGATATTCTAATTCGAAAACGGCTTCCACTAAATGTTTTGTAGAACGATAATCAACTAGGCGTAGATTATCTAAATCTTGTACAGCCTTAATAGCAGCAACCATCCAACCATGTGGTTCATCCATACCCAATGTAAGCAAAGATTGACCAGGTAAGTGAGTAAAATAAGCACGAGGTACAATAATAGATGGATTGAGTATAGATTCATTTTCTGGAAACAATGATGGTTCCCATACGAAACGATAAAAACTGAAATAACAATTAGAAATTGTTACATTTTTAAAAGATTACTAGTGTTCATTTATCTGTTAATTAACATTCCAATAGATAAACCATCTTTTCAACTCCAGCGCCCAACTTTAGTCAGTAGAGGTTTCATCAAAACCATACAAATTCTACTGATCATGATAACTTGATCAAAATAACAATTTGTATAGATAAACACACTTGACATTCATACCTTTTGAAGTGTGCTTATGATATCTAAAATATCTAACTTTTGATGAGAGCCATGACCGAGTTAATGGTAAAATAAAGTCAAGACACAATTATTTGAAATTAAAGAGAAAAACCTTAATTGGATAGGTGAAACCATCTATTAAAATAGTATTTATAACTTCATCAGGTGTTTTGTATTTTGCTTCAAAAGATTCGGCAAATTGTTATAAAGATGGTAAGAATAAGGGATAGCGCTATTCTATAAAGAAAAACCAATATTCTTGTCAATAGTGAATATACATTATAGCGTCCTAAACAAAGGTTAACGTCCAAAATTTATTGACATCTGAAAGTTCTAATATCTTGAAGATATACACTTCAGATTTTTTTGTGTTATATAAACAAAAATGTTAATGCATCCGATGCAGTGTAGTGGACGCTAATCACAGGATGATTTTTGGGTAGTGTGTAGTTGCTAAGTTTGAAGCAGTTACGAGTTCACTTAGACTGCGAACGGAAACAAAGACTCGGTGACCAAAGACCAACAAGCTAGCTATTCGATGCGACCCAGCCCTGCTAACTAGAGGAAGAAGTCCAAGCTTGGAATGGGAAAGTCTATTCCACAAACAGCCAGAAACGAGCGATAACAACAAGCACAAATCAAAACGTATATATACAGCACAAAACCGCCGTTGGAGAGAGTTACAAAATAGCATACTAAATAACACAACGGACTAATAGCATTTAAGATTCTCCCAAGTGCGAAATACAATATAAAGGCGAAAAGAAAGAAATTTAAATTTTTTAAATAAAATTACAAAATTAGGTCCTTTCTCAAGTGAGTTCTGGGGATCTAACGTCCCCAACAGTAGTGGAACGTGACATCAAAGTTGCTACAATCTTCAGACAGAGTGAAGAGTTTTAATGCATTGAAAGCGCAGATTTAACATAACACTTGGAGACCAGACGAGGATACAAATCAGATTGCAGAACACACCGAAAGATGCAGATGAACGATTGAAGGTTATGTATAATGTATTACACGAGTGCATTGTAATTGCTTATTGTCGTGCTTCATAGTAGTATACCTAACTGTGGACAGGTTTGCGCGTTGAAGTAAAGTGACAAATAAAGATCATTTTAATTAGTATGAGGGGATTTGTGGAGATTGTAGAGTTTTCATTGTGTAAATTATGAACTGCTCTTAGCTAGACGACCATCGAAAATCAGGAAGCATTAGACTACTGTCTCATTCCAGTTCGGAACTCCTCAGAGGTGCCCGACCACGACCTCACATCAAGTAATTCAACCAAAGATCTGTCGCATATGCAACTGCTTAACCTTTGGAGTAGTGAGCCGGCATTCAATGGTGTACATGTCTAACTTCAAGCTGCGAAGTTCCATAATATGAGGAAACAGCTTTTCAGTGCTTTCTGGTTTGTAATGGTGATCCAGCTAAGATCAGTTAGTGCTTCAAATCATTATAAACAAGGTGTATCTTTACAATTCTATTAATTTCACATTAGAACATCTCTGTCATAATAAAAAATATTGTCTACATACCTTTTCACTGGTAGTTCAGATAACGAAGGCGATGGATTGAATAAAACTTTTACAGTACATGGCAAAGAGTGCTGTAGTACAATCAGTATATGAGATAGACGTTGAGCATCACGAGAAGCCGGATCTATGATAGCAACTAATTCAAAATTTGGTTCATCTTTATTTCCGTGAATAATGAAACCTGAATGATTGTATGATACACCATGAAGAAGTATTCTATGCCCATTTTGACCTTTGTCCGAAATCCCATCTACGGAAGACTAGAAGAATAGCGACAGTGAAAATATTATATCATAGTTTAACGAGTTAATAGATTTGTAGTAAAACAAACCATTGTGCAGAGGATATGAATAATCGGTTACTCGAATTACCTATACAACCTTTCATGTCATCACTGTGCTTACTTCACTTATCTTATTTTGTGAATTCCAAATACTACATCTATTCATTTTGTCCCTAACATTTCTTTATACTTTTCCAGGTAATCAAGATTTATCCATTAAACTTCTCATCTGTAATCAATCTACTACTTTTCCCTAACCAATTTTCAATGCTCTTCAAACAATTACGTAATTGTGTGGTGTACGGAACTATTCGATCACTTTGTTAATCATCATATGTTTTATTACACAATGTGTCAAATTAACTAGAAATTAGATTGAATAATTTCAATGAGAAGAAAAAAACTAACCGTCTCAGATATGACTGAACTAGTAGCTTCAATACCTGATTGAAGCACTGAAGATAATTGCCAGGTGAGTTCAGAAATAACATCAGGAACTCCAGCTGCTGTGCCTAAAATTTTTTCCAGTTTATCACCAAGCTCCTTAGCCCCATTGTCTAATGCTAAACGTTCTGCTAGACGAAAATCATCAGACAGAAACTCTTCAAACGGTTCGAATGGACCGACTATCTGAAATTAAATAGTGAAAATGTAGTGTGATAATAATCATTATCATTTTAATCGCTCGATTCAATACCTCGTTTTTTCAGGGAATATGTGAGGAGAAAAACACATCAACTCTTAAGGTGCTCCATTTGAGTTTAGTAGTAATTACCGTCTTGAAAGGTTGTAAGCTTGTTATAAGAAGTTTCAAGTGTATTAAGTGTAAGATCTTCTACGTATGTGTTTGTGTGCATGTGAAACCGCTTCTCATGCAAAAATTACAAGTGACAGCATTACTTTGTTACCCTTTACATTTAATACTACTTTTCTAGCTATCTGTATCATGTTTATTTTTGGCTTTGTTTGCAGTTATTATTATTTTATTGTCTACAGATTTTGATCTTCAATCAACTCGTTGGAGATTTCACTAATTGTGTTTACTCATGTTCTATATAACCATTCTTTTTTAGCGACTGCTATATTAGATCACTATGGTTTGATTATTGTTGCGTGGATTGATTGATCTTGTTCCATATCACTGGAATGGAAATCAATTCTCAGTTTGTTAGAGACGTTTATTATTACTAACAGTTGATAATTAGTAGTATAGTTTCAAATAGTATTTATCTAATTGTTTGAATGACCATTATTTTTGGAGTAAATTGACCTGCTCTTTTTCTCGAATAGAACATTTATCGCCCAGTGAAAGCATAGCCCCAAATGCCCTGGTACAGCCGAGGGTGAGGACAGTCTTCTCTCCCTCTCGAAATGCTCTCACATGGCTACGTGTATACAGACACTGCCAGCGAAATCATACTCACTACCTTCTCGCGGCGCGAGTGTTGTTTATGAAACTGAGAGGAAGACAAGCGAATGTCTGACACTTAAACTAGGTAGGTGTACACGGGGTATCCACTTAAGGGAGTTGGATAGCCCTTATTCCAAACCAATGATGCACATGAACTCCAGAATCCTGAGGGATCAAAGGGTGTATGGACTAATTATTGGTCATCGGCTACCATGAGACTGGATCTCCTGACGTTGCTTCACTGCGTTGTAGATCAAACCTTTATGTCGAAGGCTCAGGGAGTGGCCTCCTAAGAAAACCACTTGCTTCGGTTCGGGCGCCCAGGTAGTATCACAGCCTACACACAAACCAAGTCATTTTTGTGGCGCATATGTATTCAGTGCCCCTTTGTACTAATGTTTATGTGTTCAGATAGATAAACAGTGGGAACAGATTTTCCTAGATGACATGTAATCAGTTCCTAATCCTAAAAATTTAAGCCCTTAATTTCCTACAGTTAGATCATACAAGGTGTTGTAATAATTAGTGACTAATTATTGAAGAAAGTATTGTTCAGATATATTTTGGATGTGCACTTGTTGTGATCAACACTGCTTACGTACGCTGTTGTATTATTTTGAATGCTACTATACGTCATTGTTGACAAATATCATTTTTAAATAATATCCATTTAATCTAAGGAGTGGGCAAATGAAAAATTTAATGGGATAAAACTAGTTGGATTCTTAGAATTCTGTTACGCACATTAGGAAGTTAATATATACGCGATTTACTTAGGTAAGACAAAATGCAAAACAGAAAAACTGAATAACAATACACGTAAAGTTGGAAAATATACAGATGACCCAGAAGTTTGAGCAGGTCACCGAGTTCAAATGCTCAGAGTATAAAGTAGATGCAAATTGCGTTATTCTTCTAATATCAACTTGAAAATTCGGAAATTCGATAGCAAAGGAAAAGACTAATGATATACGTATTTATTGAAACCGATATTTTTTGCCTGGTGATTGTAAACAATCATCGACAGATAGCATTGAAAACGCTTTCAATGGTGGTGTTGTGGGTGCGGAGGAATAGACCAATGATTATCATGTTAAGTCCAATGGTGTCCTTGGACTTTAAATGGACATTTCCTATTGGTCGATATCTGTTCACTTGTTGAATATTGTACAAAAGTTGTTTTCTATTTTATGGTACGATGTGGTATGCTTGATTGGTATATAAACAAAGTATGTTTTAAATGTAATGATTCGTATCTCAGAGGTTGTGACTTGTGTTCTGGACTCAATTGGCTGGGCTAGACAGGGAAGTGGGACCAATCGAGACTCTAGGTTGTCCGTACGTGTTTACGTGTCACTGCAATCGATCGATAAGTACGCTGCTCTCTAATTTTCCAGTCAAGGACACAACAATTAGCACAGGGTAAAAATCGGTCGCAACTTAAAGCCATAACAGGTGGATTTGAAGTTGTGATAAGTTTGGCTTTTAAATACTGGAGTTGCTAATTTAAATCTTGTTTCATATACATCAATTCGGGCAACTAAATAATAATAATAATGATAGAGTAGTGGCTGGTGCTATGTCAAGCCCACATAGGTTATTCTAGCCTCTGAACAGACCAATCTATTCATTCTTTTCAAGTCACATTCTTACCTCGTCACTTGTTCGCTTATTAATCCTGAATGTTTTTATTTGAGTGTATGTGTGTTAGTCACTTACCCTGTTCATTATGTCTGTAAATTATTTTTATCTGACCATAAATATTGAATCACGCTTAGTTAAATGGAGTTGGTTCATACGCCTTCTCAACCGCGTGTCATTTAGTTTCGCTTCACTTCCCTGAATTTCTGTTTCGACCAACGATTGTATGAAGTATATATATTCAATTCAAAAATCCATCCTCGTATTTGACTTATTTATTTCTGTTATTCACTAACGCAACTTAAGTCGACAATTATATACGACAACAGCCGGGATGTATATTTCCATAAAAATCATTATTCGTATGATATAATTGGAGTCAGATATTGGGCCGCAAAAATAGTATCACTAGCCCACACTTGAAGAGTAGAACGTAAAGTTGAGTCTATATATGAACCCATACTTGGTAATGGAATCATATTTAATTAAAAATAATATACTGAGCTTAAAATTGATGAAAATGTATTAAATGGTACTTTAAAACTTACTTTACCATTCACAACAACAGCTCGTTCACCGGGTTTCAGACCAATAATCTGACAGGCAATAGTTGAGTGCATTTGTAGAAAACTATTCCTATCAAATAATTGAATAGCATCATGTATCTGTTTGGAATCCATGCCCTGAATAACACATGACAAAAAGAAACGTAAGTCAAATCTGAATTTTCTAAGAATATAATGAAAATACTTGGTCTCTGAAGCCTATAATTTTAAAGATCAGTATAATTCAATTCTCAAAGTAGTAATATTACAATATATACCTGAATAACACTGATGAATTAGTGTCTAACAAAATATTGACAAAGATAGAGCAGAATTTGTTGAACTTTTGCCAACTTTCATCAACTATGATACGAGGGGCACCAAATACATATGTGCCACAAAATAACAATAAAGGCCAGTAGTAGTTATCACTGATTTGTGTGAGGGCTGTGATACTACCTGAGCTCCCAAACCTAAGCAGGTGCTTTTCTTAGGAGGCCACTCCCCGAGCCATTGACCGAGAGGTCTAATCCACAAGACAGTGGAGCAACGTCAGGAGATCCAGTCTCATGGTAGCCGATGACCAATAATTAGTCCATACACCCTTTGATCCCTCAGGATTCTGGAGTTCATGTGCATCATTGGTTTGGAATAAGGGCTATCCAACTCCCTTAAGTGGATACCCCGTGTACACCTACCTAGTTTAAGTGTCAGACATTCGCTTGTCTTCCTCTCAGTTTCATAAACAACACTCGCGCCGCGAGAAGGTAGTGAGTATGATTTCGCTGGCAGTGTCTGTATACACGTAGCCATGTGAGAGCATTTCGAGAGGGAGAGAAGACTGTCCTCACCCTCGGCTGTAACAGGGCATTTGAGGGCTTTTTGTCTGTTGAAAGGATAATACTCTCTGTACCATTCCACTTTGTATTAATTTACAGGTGTAAAAGACGTTCTTTATTAATAGGATATAGATGAAGTTTGCTAGTATTTAATTGTAGACACCATTGAATCATTGGCCATGAATGTTGAGGCTAGATGTAAATTACTAAGTAAATATGGAAGATAGGTTGATCAGACTAACAAACGTCATCGGCTGATGTAACCAAGTATGTATAACACGTGTTCTAGTCATCGTCTACTTCAATATAATATATTGGTTAGCAATGGAGTTATTAGTAAAAAAACGGGAAGTGTGGATAGATTATAATATGATATCAGTACACAAATACAATCAATTCTGATCTCTTTTGTTTTTTTCTCAATATAGAGTCTTGATATTGTTCATTTGTTCCCTTAGAACTCTGCTTTCTAAACAAGTATAGCTGACAATATCATTTGAATTCCCTAGTTTTTGATCATGTTAATTTTCTCAGTCACTTTACTGATATAGTTATGTTAAAATTAAGTCTATGAACACTTCTAAAAGTCACTACTTCCTACTAAGTATAATGAAAACAAAATATATTAACCATAAAATAATAACGGGAACAATGAGAGAAGACGAAGACAAAACAAACTCACTGAAACTAGAAGTTCTTCTAAAGATTTGATAGATTTAGAAGTTTTAATCGATTCCAACATTTCTTTGATAAGACGTATAGCAAAATTACGTCCTGACATTTGTTCAGCATATTTTCGCTTTGCTATTATTTCATTGTTTAATTGGTTAGATAAAGGTGATGTTATATTGATTGGATTACCAACAAGATAAAGTACACGTGTTAACCAATGATTAGTTGATGTTTCTTCTTTAGTTAGTTTCAATGGGTTATATACGAAACCAATACGTAAACCCTTTGTAGAATGACCGCTACGTAGAAATGTTAAAGCATTAAGAGCTAAATTGCAATCCATTTGAAGTTGGAGACGATGTTCTTCCGGTAAATTTGAATCGAAAATTTGATCCAAATCACCGATAACTATCCACATTGTAACTGGTCGAATAGATGCCTCTAAATCTTGAAAAATAATGGTAATAATAATCTTCTTTAAGAGAAAACCAGTATAAATCTTCCGAGAGAATAATAGCTAGACAAATTTTATCAGCTGGTAAAATAAGAAACGTAACTCATCAAGTATGGGTTTGCGTAGTCAGTGTTGAGCAGCCTATTTCGTTTGAAGGGTAGTGGAACTACTCTGTTAGAAAGACTGAGGTACATACAACAAAGTTTGAGCCTGAAGCTTAATGGCTGAAAGTCGAATGCTCTAAACAATGCGGTTGGCAGGCACAAAATGATATATTTCGATGATTACGTTCTCGAACGAGGCATAGACCACAGTACAGGATTCTAACTACTAACGACTTACTTACGCCTCTTACTCGTCGCGGAAGAGAATGGGCCACCCACCAGCACTCTCCACCGAACCCTGTCCTGGGCAATCCTTTTCATATCTGCTTCTATTTCCCAACGTAATTTGTTTTTTGGCCTTCCTTTTTTCCGCTTAACTTCAGTATTCCAAGTTAGTGCTTGTCTCGTGATGCAGTTTGGTGATTTCCATAATGTATGTCCTATCCATTTCCATCGTCTTTTCCTAATTCCCTCAGATGGAAGATGGTTTGTTCTCTCCCACAGTAAGCCGTTGCTGATGGTATCCGGTCAATGGATGTTGAGTATCTTGCGTAGACAACTACTTATAAATACTTGTACATTCTTGATGATGGTTGTAGTAGTCCTTCAAGTCTCAGCTCCTTATAGCAGAACTGTCTTGACGTTTGTATTGAAAGTTGTTTTGAGTTCCATATGTTCTTCAATTGTAGGAATGCTGTCCTTGCTTTTCCAATCCTCGCCTATATGTCTGCATCCGATCCTCCTTGTTCATCGATGATTCTTTTCAGGTACGTGAAGGATTTCACATCTTCCAGAGTTTCGCCATTAAGTGTGGTTGAGTTAGTGTTCTCCGTGTTGTATTTGAGGATCTTCGTTCTTTCTTTGTATATGTTGAGGCCTGCTGATGCAGAGGCACCCGTAGAAAACTAACTCGCTAAAAAAACGCTAACCAGAAAAAAGTGCTAACGACGGATGAGTAACAAAAATTGTTGGCACTAATTACTTTGAATCGATACCAATAAAACACACTAGATACTACCATAAATTAAAAGTTGGGGAGAAAATTGACTCAATGGTGGGCTCTTAAACATTAAGTCACAGATTTGACTTCGATCTGGTCCGATCGTAGCTGGTACCTTGATGCGAAGTCTGCATTTGCGTATTGTGATGACTTGAGCTATTTCGGCCGGAACATTCGTCCTTTCATGTCTTACCATGTCAGACAGGTCGGATGGAAGACAGTAGAACTGAAAGTAGGAAATTCGCGAACGGGGGTGAAGTTGTACTGCCGACAGTAAGACGTTCCTCTCAGGCGATTGGGATTTGCAGCTATCCTGTTTTCCCACAACGGGAGGAGGGAGTTTCAAAAGTTCGAGCCCAAAAATAGCACACCTCATCATGCCTCAAGGATTTCCATCGCCGGCCATGACGTTTTAAAATAACAGAGCTACACAATTAAAACTACTATTCTGCTTCTATGCTAATCCGCTGGGGTTTTCCCGCGTGGATTTAGAAGAAGAATTAAGTTACAATATTTATCTTATTCACCAGGACCCAGTTTTCGAAGCAGCAAGCGGACTTTCCAAGCGTCATCCTGATCAGCGAAATCATATTTGAATAAGTCTTTATAACGCCGAAACCACATATCAAATGTGACATTGGATTCAGGATCGTAATGAAATTCAGAGATACTGTTCGCGATACCATCAACTGATGGTGCAGTAGTAGTAGGATTAGAAGTGCTTGGTTGCGTGTTGAGCGTAAGCTTTGCATCTGCTAACATTTGCATTAGTTTTAGCTGCTGCTCGAGCAATAATTCTACTCTTGAAGGATCCATGTTTGCGAGTTCACTTAGTCTGCGAACGGAACAAAGACTCTGTGACTAAAGACCAATAAACAAGCTATTCTATTGCGTCTCAGCCCCGCTAACTAGAGAGAGAAGTTCAAGTTTGAGACGGGGAAAGTGTATTCCGCAAGCAGCCCGGGCAATCCCGACCCGTCTAGTCGGAAATACACTCATTTATATATTGATTCATACACCCAATATCACAATCGTAGAACTTTTTTTCGTATAAACCTGGAAAGTTTGTGTACAGCTGACGACGTGAATATTATTTTCGTCGCATGTCTAATTGCCATTTATAAATCAGGATAATAACAAATAGACGGATAAATGAAGCATAAAGAAAAAACCACTTACATCCACCTTACCTCCTTTTTGAAAATAGCGCATTTGATCCGTAAAAGATTTCAACAACTGTGAAGTGGGTAGTACATTTTCATCGGCTAGTGTGTGTGTGTGTATGTATGTATGTATGGGTGTATATAAATGAAAATGAAAACGAAGAGAAAGTAAAATGAGCAAATGAGGAAAAACAGAATACATATCAATTATATACACATGGGATTATGTTTTGTTTTCAAGTTTATGATGTGAAAATAAGCGACTGGAATTTATACGATGAACTGAATGAGAAATTCTATTCATCATCTTTAATCCTACATCCACAATGAAGAATAATTTAGACTTCTACAAACAACAGTGAGAATTTTTAACGAATAACATTAAAACAACTATAGTTTAGATATTATTATTAATACCCATCTCTGAATTAATGAACAATATTTTTTTCAATCGTTCTTCCACTGTACTCCTCAAACCAGTTGCCAAATAATATGAGTACTAATCAGATTATCATTAGTTTCAACTCAAGTTCGAACTTTGTTATTTTTCAAAGTCCTATATCTTTATATGCTTGAGCAAAAAAGTGTATACCTAGGTATATTGGGCACATAATTTGATAGATATCATTAGACAGATGATATACATATTACTTCAACAATAAATCCCTCTCGTAATAGAAGTCAGTAATGCATCGAAAAGCTTAATGCTTAAAGAAGTTAAAGTTGTAGTAGAACAGCTGTTGAGATGCAGGAAAATTAACAACCTAAAGGAGAAAACCAATTAGATGATCGAAAAAGCTAGTGGAGAAATATGAAATGTAAAGTCATCAAAGTTAACCTTGACATATCAGAATAACCATTTATTCACTAAAAAATCTAGATAACATGAGATCTTCCTAGAGTAAAAGTAAAAATATTTTAAGATGAAAACACAAAAAAGACATAATAGATAAATATGGTTCACTTATGAAGCAGTTTAAAATTTAGTAGAATATGAAGAATGACCAAATCTCTATTCCATTTTAAGTGATGGTTATATTCAAAGTGTTCGAATCACTGATTTGTAAAACTGAGCGTCCCAGTAAGAGACTTTACAATCTCTCATACCCGACTCAGAGAAACTAGTCAATGAACCTTAGATACTCCAAGTCATGTCTTACTCTGTGTGAAAATAGAATATTTTATTGTGCCGATAATATTGTAATTGTGTAAGATAAATGTAGATTGAAAACGAGAGATGTCTTATTAATGGTGATGACATACAGCCTCGAAGATATTAAGACCATTAGCTGAATAGTATCGCGGTTAAGTATGAAGTGATCCTTGAACCAGGACGTCAATAGTTAAAAGTTAAATACATTCACTACTGTGTGAACACTTAATCACTAAGAACAGGTTCACATACCGGAGATAATTTGCACTAACAACTACATTTAACTAGACAACAATTGAAAACTCCGCCTGTAGCTCGTCTAGGGTTACGGCCGATCCCATGTCCAAGTAAACGAGGAGGATTGAGCATGGGGTCAGTAAACCCATTCTTTAGAAATCAACCTTTCTAAAAAACGATAATCAGAATAAACAATTAAAACTATTTAAACAACTTTGAAGGAATCAAACAAGCACTAGCTTCAACGCGTCAGGAGTTTCTGAGCCATAAGACATATCATTATAAAAAATGGATCTCTATCGAAACACTAGACAAGATTCAAGAAAGGAAGAACAAGAGGACAGCAATTAACAACAGCCGAACAAGGACAGAGATATTCAAGGTACAAGCTGAATACACAGAAGCAAACAAGCAAGTGAAGAGAAACATAAGAGCTAACAAGCAGAAACACGTGGAAGAGCTAGCAGCGACAGCGGCAAAAGCTGCAAGAGAACGAAATATGAAACAACTATATGACACGACGAAGAAACGATCACGGAAATATAGTAAACCAGAGAGACCGATCAAGGACAAACAAGGCAAGACAATCACTGAGATTCAAGAACAGAGGGACAGATGGGTGGAATACTTTGAGGAACTCTTCAATAGACCAGCACCACTGAATCCACCGAAAATCGAAGCAGCATCTACAGATCGTCCTATAGATGTCACTCCACCAACGACGGGAGAAATCAGGACGGCTATCAGACAAATAAAGTGTGGGAACGCAGCAGAACCAGACAGTATACCAGCTGAAGCACTGAAGTTAGATATAGAAGTAACTGCAAGCGTGCTCCCCGTCCTATTCAGGGAGATTTAGGAGGAAGAACAATTGCCACCGACGGACTGGAAAAAAAGATACTTCGCCAAGATACCAAAGAAAAGAGATCTGAGCAAATGTGAAAACTACACAGACATCACACTATTATCGGTACCAGGAAACGTTGAAGCGGATGAAAGATTCAGTAGACGCCCCAACTTTGAGGCTACATTCCGTGAGGATATCGTGCACAGACCGGATCGCAACACTACGGAACATTGTTGAGCAATCAATTGAATGGAACTCGTCACAATACATCAACTTCCTTGATTATGAGAAAGCGCTTGACATTGAGGATAGGAGAACCTTATGGAGCCTTGTTCGATACTAAGGTATACAGGAGATGATCTTCGAAACGAACGTCAACGTAGTTCTACCGTACGAAGCTGAGATTTTGAGAACTACAACCATCATCAAAACGGTACAGGTATTTATAAACAATTATCTACGTAAGAAACTGAATGTTCGTTGACCGGATACGATCAGCAACAGCCTACTGTGGGAGAGAACAAACTAACTTCCATTTGATGAGGAAATTAAGAAAAAATGTTGGAAGTGGATAGGACACACTTCGAGGAAATCTTCAAACTGCATCACCAGGCAAGCCACAGCTTGGAATCTTGAAGGGAAACGGAAAAGAGGAAGGCCGAAGAACACACTAAGCTGGGGATTGGAAGCAGACATGAAAAGGATGAATAGCAACTGGAACCAACTGGAAAAGATTGCTCAGGACAGATTCAGGATTGAGAATGCTGCTGAGTGGCCTATGCTACTCCATGAGAGGTAACAGACTTAAGTAAGTAGCGATTGAAAACCAGGGAATGTTCAACAGGTGTCTCATCTCAGTAAGAGACTTGTCAGCAGTGTGTATCCACGATCCCATCAGGAATCGAACATAGGACCCACGGGCCTTGAACCAAATACACTACCTTAAGATAACTGTGGCTCTCAAGTACAACTCGACATGCTTTGTGATATTATACAGTCATCCACTGGCATTGGCGATAATCGTCTTACTCCCGACATAACTGAACTACAGTGGTTACGGCTTCTCATTGGAACTTCTGGGATTCTTTTCGAACTTATTCACCAATAAACAATTGAAATAATGACCAAATAAAGACAATCTTTTCAAGAAAATTACACATACATAAGCCCACTGGCATAGAATATCCATTGAAGTTGATATACTTCAGTGATTCAAGAGACCTTTGATTTGAATTATCCTTCTTTTTATTTAATAATCGTACATTAAATCGTGGGACAATAGTTGCTGTCTTTTGATATAAATCAAATATTGTCTGAGAATTACTCATTTGACCTTGAAATACAGCTGACTGTACGTGCATTAATTCTTCCATGGACAGAGTAACAACAGTATCTTCGAAACCACCAATTTTTCTAATCCCATCACTATCTAATATAATTCCGTTAAAAAGTATTAGTGGGATTTTCTTGATTGACTGGAGTCCAGAACGAATAAGAAATTCATGGTGGGACTAAAATTTAAATTTTTAAAAAATTCAATCATAACACTATTTGGTTCGCAGTGTGTTAATTACAATAAAATACTAGACGTAGGAAATATAGTTCGAAGGAAGTAAATAAAATCGAGGAATCAGAAGCATAAAACAATATTATGGATCAACAACCAATTCGAAATCACATCACCTAGGATATTAAGCAGAACCCAACCACGAAGTTCGCTCATATTAACAGTCAGTAATCTCATAGGCTGATTTTGTTTTGATTTTTCTACTCATACCCTTCTTCTAACTTGTAACTTAAAAAAGATAGCATGTCAACGAAGGCGACGTTTGGGTATGTGTAACATCATAAAATTTGCCATCTAATTAACTACTTTAAATTTATGCGCTCATGAGTGGGTAGGAGAAATGAAACTTAGAGAGAATTGTTTATTGCGTGACGAATACCATAAAGCTTCTATTTATAAATATGAAATCGTACAATTTAGAAAGAATAAATGTCATCGTTGAGAAGCCCATCTTTAATCGCTTAGTATTCAAAAGATACAATATTGAGAAAATTTAAGTTCGATAGAAAATAGGTGTATTCTCATTTTGATTTAACGACAACTGAACCTAGAAAGTTACATGTAGAAACCAGAGGAACTACACCGTGGAAATAGAAACAGGCACATTTTTAGTTTGGTGAACACATACCAAAGAATCTAGGACTGAATAAAATCTAATTTTTATTTAGTCGTTTGTCTAACACAATACAACTATCTTAGTGAAATTGTATAAACGTTCTCGCTCTTAATATACCCAGCTTGTTATCAAACCAATAAAATCAAGACAGAGGACGGACAAATATATTCGATGAACACTTCCATCTTGATGCAATAGTTCCTGAAAAGACTAGTTATCTGACTGTTACCTAGACCGAACAGTCTATTTTGTATAATAAATAAGATTAATGTTAATAAAATGTTAGGTATTCTGAAAGAATATTTCTTTTATAGTAAATATTTGCATCAAATTTAACTTGTCATTGTTATTATTTAATTTGTTTATCAGTCCCAGGTTCGTATACTTGGCTTTGAGTCACGCTCCAAATGTGAGGACTAGTGATTTTATTGGGTTTCTTTATATATCTTCATATATCCATATAAATATTACTGTATATTAGAGTAAAACTTAATGACGATCTGATTGATAACAGTAATATTCGCTTATATCTGTGTTTTTCTAACCTCAGTTCTAACCGATAAGCACTAAAGAAAAACACGATAATAGAAAGCAAAAGAAAAACCAATAGCTTACCGTAACTTCATTATCATAATCACCATTACCAGGTTCCGGTGTAAATATATCATCAGTATCAGCGGTTGGAAATAACTTCTCAAATTTTCGTTTAATTAAATCAATACTTAATTCACTGTTTGATTTTTCAGCATTTGCATAGATTTCCGTTAAAAATGACAATGCTGCCATAGGACCAGGTGATCCTAAACCATTGATTTGAACAGGAAATGGTGATTCATGTGAATTAAGTATAGTGGATGATATATATGAAAATATACGGGTTAAGATAAGACTAGTTGAATTCAATTTAGGGTTTACTGCCCAGATAATGCCAAAACTAAGAAGAGATAGTTTGAAAGAGAAGAAACAAAGAGTATCATCAGAGACAATTAATTCTATAAAAAAATACAATAAAGCATCATTATCTAAACATTTGTGTGAAACATTAACAGGTAAATCGGTACCAAAAAAATAGGAGATATTAAACAAATGAGTTAAACAAATTATTCGTATGGATCAAGCTTTTTTTGACAACTTATCAATGATTTTCACCATGCTTAACTTCATCGGCTTAACATAGGAGAACTGTTCTAAGCTCACCAATATATATATCCGCTCACATTATTCAAAATATCTATACACTTCCTGGGGATCCAGGCTCTTTAGGTGACTTGTCATTTCACTATGTTTGTAGATAATTTTCCCAATTTTAATCGGTTAGAGACGAAGTACAACCTGGTATGCATGTACATAGGTTCGAGTTGCCATACCCCATTAGCAACAAGAGATGAAATTGTCAGACCAAATTGCAGAGTAGTTTTATTATTATGATCATGTGTATAAATAATATCCTCATATCTAATTCATCTACAATCATTCGAACAATGAATCGGAGATCAGAAAACACAAAAGATTTCACACACACACACACACATACCTTCACAAAAACAGTTTGCAACATTTTATAAAATCCCTTAGAGTTGTTGTTAAGTCAAAAACTTTAGTAAGTGGCTCAATTGACATGTATCATTCTCACAATTTGAATCGCAAATTGAAAATACAGGAAAAAAAGTATGGAACATAGCTTACCGTACTGGAGTCATATGAAGAAGAAACGATTCTGTCAATTTTAACATTTCACGACTTTCAAATGAAACGGGATCAATTATTAGAATAACATTATACAAATTTTTACGTATTCTACGTAGTCCACCAGAAAAATCAAAATTGAATAATGTATGCAGAGAAGCTGGCCAATAAGCATAAGCTGGGTCAGTTTCTAAATTATTTATATAAGTAATTGGTGCATTGGATAAATCCAGTACAAACTGATTAGATATACTATGTCTTGAACCTGGTAAATTTGGGTCATTTTTATTGGTAGCAGAACCGCTAGAAGAACCATATTCAATGATTAACTGTGAAATATTTGAACCCTGAAAAACGAAAAAACATTAAACATTGTTTTGATTAGATTGTACAAATGTTAAGTGAAATTAATAAGTTTTGGGAAAAATAAGATAATCAACTGTCAAATGGGATGATTGTAAGTACAATAGTTTAAATGTTGTTCTTTACATTAGGGAAATTAAATAAGAAACCATTGAGAACCACAGAACAGAAGGCATATATTTGATTCTATATAAATTATTCCTGCTATTTAATAGAGTAAATACTAAGCACTAAATTTATGATCGGTATGAACTCACTACGATATGAAAGGTAACAATATTTTCAACATTTGATAATTATAATCACAAAATGAAGACGAAAAGTGGTTTTTATAAAAAGCTTTTACTTACTACAGAACACGTCTATACACACAGTTTCCGCATGATCTGAGAAAGCGTAAGACAAATCCATGTATCTAACGATGATGTAAGCAAACAACACTGCTGGACTTAAATAACTTTGCAAATAACCCAGAGATATTTACATCCCATATAAAGAATTCAGAATGCATGTAAGTTAAATTAACAAACTACTGTAATACGGAGTGATACACTGATATTGTCACACACAAATACAATCTATACACTTTTTCAGACCCCCTAATTGAGATCCATCCGACAGCAGAATCGTACTTCTGACTGTAGAAGGGTGGGGCAGCAGTAAGTTGTTTCTCCCAGAAAACCAGCATCTGCAGCGATGTTGCCTTCTCACAACAAAAGGAAGACGTAATAAAAGTTTTACCGTAAAAATGTCACACCCCACAAATTTCCGTCTCCGGTAGTAAGGTCTTTCGAAGTATAGAGTTAACACGTCAAAAACCTGTCATAGGAACGTCATGTGTAACCGACCTCAATTGGCCCCTTAACTCTGTGGTTACACTACTCCCGGATCACTAAGACCATCACTAACCCAGTTTCTTTTTCGGGAATCTCAAGAAGAAATGTTCTTTCACAGTATGGGCAGTGAGGAGGTGATAACTACCCCCATGCTTCTAATAGTATCCGAGATCATTTTATTTGGAACCTGTTAAGTGTAGCAACGTTTGTGTTAGGTCCTACGTTAGCAATGATTGACCGACTGACTGAACAGTTCATAGAACTTGAAAATTAGTCACAACTGAAGGTAAGAACTGAATCAATAAACATTTTCAACAGTTGACTATCGTGAGTAGTGAAGATAGGGGAAGTATAAAATGAAGATATTCTTTAATAAATATGAAATCAAAGACTGGATTATAAGTATGAATTAACAACTAGTACTTAGTACTTACTGGTATGCCTAAATCATGTAGTTGTGTCATCATTTTAGACTCTTGACGTATGACATCCAATAAAGCAAATATATCAACAGAAGATGAAAGTAAAATACCATTTAGAAGAAGTAAACTTTGACCAGGTTGTATACCGTATGTTCCAGTTAGAACATGTTGATTTTTACTTGACTCTGTACGAAGATTTGAATTAACATTTACATTGACAAGCCGACTAGACGTAATATAAAACAATGGGTATTATGTAGTATAAATATAAATTTAGAGTGTTAGAATCAAGGATAATGAATGATAGAACTAATTAAATGTAAGAAAAATAATTAATTTATGTAATTAAAATTTAAACACATAAATATTCAGAAGGGGTTTGTGGAGATTTTAGAAATTTCACAGATTGAAATCATGAGTCAATTGAAGTTAGACATTAACACCATTGGATGCCGGCTCAGTGGTCTAGTTGGTTAAGCGCCTGGCGCGAGGCTGGTAGGTCCTGGGTTCGAATCTCGCGGAGTGCGGGATTGTGGATGCGCACTGCTGAGGAGTACCATACTAGGACGAAACGGCCGTCCAGTGCTCCCAGGTTTTCCATAATGGTCTAGCTTCAATTGACTCGTGATTTCAATCTGTGAAATAAATATTCATAAATAACTGGAATAAATGAACTCTCATTTATCAACGATTGGAAATATTATGATCCAGTATTTCTTAAACGAACTGTCTATCTTTTTATCCAATAGACCGGAAAGTGTATGAACGAATTAATCCCATTGAATGAAATAGTTAACAGAACTTACCATGACAATTGACTTGATTACGTTATGAATATCATAATTAAAATAGAGACGATGAACTGTAAGGTCAGACTCAATGTAAGTACAATGCCGCTAGAATTCTATAGAACTCGTAACGTTCATGAAAACAGGTTTTTTACGATGACTTGTTGGTGAAAGCCACATAAGCTTACAGCGTACACAAATACACTAATCAACTTCCTCGATCGTCTCAGAGATTTCTAATTTGACAGGCTAAAACATGTTATTATAATGAGACCGACAAAAAAATTGTAAGTCGATCCAGATTGAATAATATAGTTTCTAATCAGTATTAACATACAGTCAGTTTTTGCTTATATTGATTGTTCCTAATCAAGCTGTTTGTTAAGTGTGACAGTGTGAAACAATAAACTTTTGTATCATACCTTAAAATGTTTATAACTAGCTACCTTGAATTCGGGCACAGAATTACATTTAATTGATTTTCGCGCAGTTATTTAGATGGGGACCCGAGAACCTGTTTTAGAGTTTTTTTTCAAAAAGACTCCACAGAAGATACCGAATGTTAATGCAATCATTTAGAGCATAATAGTGAACGTGAAGTAGCTATGTACTAACACGACGTTTGTATCAACTGGCAGAATTTATTCCATTGACAGATTGATAAATTATCAGAAGGGGTTTGTGGAGATTTTAGAAATTTTCACAGATTTAAATCATGAGTCAGTAGAAGCTAGACCACCATTGAAAACCTGGAAGCACTGGACGGCCGTTTCGTCCTAGTATGGTACTCCTCAGCAGTGCGCTCACTAGTGACTGACTTCAAGAGATACTCCTGGAGTTCTAGTGGGAAGCCGTTACCAGTGGAGTTCAACCAGGTCTGTTGTGAGATATTGGCTCACTGAAGACAATGGTATATGGTGGCGCAACTTCGTGGATTGGTTGAAGTTAGACATTAACACCGTTGGATGCCGGCTCAGCGGTCTAATGGTTAAGTGCTCGCGCGCGAAGCCAGTAGGTCCTGGGTTCGAGCCCCGCGTGGTGCGGGATCGTGGATGCGCACTGTTGAGGAGTCCCATACTAGGACGAAACGGCCGCCCAGTGCTTCCAGGTTTTCAATGGTGGTCTAGCTTCAACTGACTCATGATTTAAATCTGTGAAGATTGATAAATTGACAATTTTCATAGCCTTGAAACGCAAAACTTTTGTAAATGCTACTAGAGTGCTGATCTTATTTGAGTCATGAAGAAATGAAACGAATAAATAATTATTGTGTAATGACGATAAATCATATCTGTTTGGTTACAAAATAAAGCCCTGAATTTCCTGAAGTAAAAAGCATAACATTCACAGATGATGTCATTGAATATATTAAATAGATACTTGGGATTTTATTTACTGACAGTAAAACACTTTGCAAACAAGCATTGACTCTGACCATCTTGTTTATTTAACAGTACACAAAAGATAAATTTAAGCACATAAATTAGTGAATAAAAATTTAAATTCCAATAATCGTAAACGTGCAATGAAAATTGCTAGGAAAAGCAAAGAAATAGTAATAAACTTGAAGGGGAAAAAATAAAAGCGGGAATAAATCAATATACGTTAGTAGATAAAAAAATTCTGTTGATACCGGATTACGTAATAGATAACCTGACAACTATATATTATCCAAAATTAACGTTAAACACTTATTTCAGTTGTCCAATAGACCGCTCATAAAGCCACGAAGCCCCGTAATAATCTATATTGATTTAAATAATGGTCGGTATGCTTTAATCTGGTGACAGGAGATGAATATTATTTTATACTCTTGAAAGTTTCAGAAACATTGTAACCGTTTGAAATAGAGTGAAATGAATGCAATGCATAAATAAACAAATATAAAGTAAAAAGAAGAATTTTACTAAATAACCTTCTATAATCATGAGTATCCTATAAGAACCAGTTTTAAAGTTTAATTGTTATTAGTAAAACCATATTAAACTAAGTATAAAACTTTTGAGATGCTGGAAAAGATTTGTAGCTTAGGTGAGTGATTTAGGTTCAGTTTTGTTCTCTGAGGTGGAAGGTATGGCTGTGGAACTTACATTCTGAACAACATCGGCAAGAAATCCGAAAAATCATGGACAGATATGGGGCCCAGGATCAGATTAAAGGGAGATACAATCAAAATAAAGTAGACAGTGACAGGTTAAATGTCAACAATGAGCAATCAAGATCGCGGTCGACAGGACAAACTGTGAGTCATATGTGGAGAAATTCAAACAATTCACTCCTACCTGAAGTTTGTGCTGATGTTGTTCGGAAGAGCAATGAAAGCTCCACGACTAAACGATTCAACTCAGAGAACAAAACTCCACCTAAGAAAAAAAATGTCATCAGTGTTGAATTACCTTGCTCGTGCTGGTAAATTTTGACTAATATCACGTAAACTCCATAAGCCTAAATCAATATACGATCCGATGAAACCTTCATGTTTCATGTTTGATAAAAATCCATCCATAACTACTTGACAAGCTTGTAAGCTTAAATCACGAAATTGCCAAGCTTTCAATGGACGTAATTCATCATCTGTAGTTAATAAATGACTATGAAATTCATTGAGTTCTTTAGTTAACTCTGGATGAATATTTAGAAGTTGTGTAAAGTTGAAACCTGCGACAATTGGCACATCAACAATTTTATCGGTTTCTTTTAATGATACATTATCTGATTCTGAAATAAACAATACATTATTATTAATATTAACTTAGTATCAATTACAGATTTGTGTATTTAGGTTCGTCACACTCTATGTGTGCGAACTAGTGAAACAACCCGGTCTCCCAAACTGGGATAGAAGTGGTTTTTGAATATGTGACTTAGTGACTGAAAGCCAAATGCTTTAAACACAGTACCACTACTCCAATATATATATAATATATATATAAATTTACGGTGCAAATCACCGCGACTGACCAAACAAACGTAAGTGGAGCTCGGTTATAAACTGCAGCTCCACACAGTTAAAGTAGATTGCTATGGTCACTGAAGAAATATTTCGTACGAAACAAAAGTGATAGAAAACCTAGTGAGTTGTAAACCAACTACTTAGCGTAATTTTATACGACACAATAGGGATGAGATCTATTATAAAACAAAAACGATTACATATCTGTGACATTAGTAGTGATAATAAGCGGTGACAACATTCGACAACATAAATTCACTTCACATTACCGTTGAATAAACAGTGAGAAACTTAAAGGTCGTATAACACAACAATGATAAAACGTACCTTCTGATTTTGTATCATCCATAGCTTTATATTCAGTGCTTTTCAAAGCAAGTTCTACACCATAACCATTTAAACTTGTCCCACTCAAATTTCGGTTCTTTCAAAAGAAGGTTAGATGAATAAATAATAATAATAATAATAATAATAATAATAATAGTAATAATAATAATAATAGTAATAATAATAATAATAGTAATAATAATAATAACAACAATAGTAATAGTAATAATAATAATAATAATAATAATAATAATAATAATAATGTTACGACAACCAACGATGAAACTTGTTAGACAAATATTGAATATGTTTCATCTGTCATATATCCGCCAACAAAAACTAAACAGACTGGGTTGGGTAAATTTAAGTTGATTTACCCCAGAAATCGATAGTGCTCAATGTTGAATTTCACTCTAATGTATCATGAACAGAGATGATATACTACATAATATAGTATGACAACTGTACCACAGTCGTACTACAGTTCAATATTGTCGTTTAGCATCCATTATCAATTTAACGACTAACACCAGGAGTATAACAAGGAAAGTAATGTAACTCAGCCAATTTGTATACTTAAATATACTAAGATCTATGAATCATATTTGTCATTTTTGTTCGAGGGTTAGTGATACTCAGAGCTATCCAGACAGACGTATATACAGTAAAATTGTAGTTAATCGGTTAGACCTCTCGACGTCTGGCTGCTAGATGACAAGTTTGGATCCCAGCTTTTAACTACTTCGATTTGGATAACCGATTCGCAACACCACTAGCTTTCAAATGAAGTGTGGCTAAAAACCGAGTGCATAAATTTGTACTCGGCAAACGAGTTACATAGGTTATAAATAGGGTAGAGATTACAAACCAAAAACTCAATGGTTGACAATTAACTATTTGTGCCACTGTACTACAAATACATAATGACAACGGAAAATTACCATTGATATGCTCACCTGAAAATAATGTCTGAATGCATAATTACATAGACCATCATCAGACAATGCTTTTAAACTTCTATGCCATGAGTAAAATTCGTGATGACTTAGATCCCCATATAGAATTACTGTAGGAATGTTATTGGAAGTATCTTTTGGTGATGAATACACTTTTTCAAGTGAAAATAAAGCTTGAAAATAATGGATAACACAACAGATGATAAATGGTAACTGGTAGCCTACTGATTTTAATTATATGGTGAAGTAAACAAAAGTATAATTGATAGACTCACGTTAGTTTTTAGGCTAAAGTCAATTAGTTATGAGAAAACTACCACAAATATTCGACAGAAGTGATCTTTGTTATTATTTTATAGAGATTTTTTTCTCACCGGTCATTTAAAAGTAAATTTGACTAGTCCTTGTTGGCATTCTACATTATTAGATGGATCCCTCAATATATTGACCGTTACTTATTTACTTATGCCTGTTACTCCTAATGGAGCATAGGCCATCGACCAGCGTTCTCCAACCCACTCTGTCCTCGGCCTTCTTTTCTAGTTCTATCCAATTCTTGTTCATTTTTCTCATGTCTATCTACATTTCCCGGCGTAATGTGTTCTTTGGTCTTCCTCTTTTCCTTCGGCCTTCAGGATCCCATGTGAGGGCTTTTCTTGTGACGCAGTTGGGCGCTTTCCTCAATGTGTTTCCTATCCACTTCCAGCGCTTCTTCCTAATTTCTTCCTCCACTGGGATCTGGTTTGTTCTTTTCCACAGTTGGTTGTTGCTAATAGTGTCCAGAAATATTGACCGTTACGTGTTTATTATATCTTAGGGTAGTGACTAGCAGTGTAACTATTGATGGGACTATGATGACTCAGTAGTTTGA